TTCCACCAGTTGCCTTCTTTGTCATAGGACCACAAAGAAGAGTTACTAGTGAGCTTTCTTACCAGTTTCAAGCTGTTTTGCTGCAAGACAAACATTCCTCAGCTTCCAATGAAATCGATATTCTGGCAACTGGGGCACATGAAATAACCACTGAGCTTATTAGACTGAAAGCAAATTGGTAGCTGTCGTAGGAGCAAGCTTAGTTACCAGATAGCGAAGATGGATAGGCTTTCACTTGCACTGGAAAGGTCCTAATTGAAGTCCATGGTTATTGATCATAAGCACACAAACATGCAGAATTTTCATTGTCTTTTAATATGGAGATCTAAGAGATGCTCTTGCTTTCTTCCTTTATTTTTTTTTTTTGGAACGATCATCTTGATTTCTTTTGATCTCTAAATCTATCCATTTGTGATGCATATCATCCACACTGAAGGATTCAACTCAACCAGGGGAACTGCTATCAAGTTTGCAAGGTCACTGTGGCAGTCCCACATTTATCCTTGGTTGCACCTAACCCTAGGCTACAGTTTGGTCCCATCCAAGTGACAGGAATTTGGTGACTAATGGTTGCTGAGTCTTCCCTTCCAATGGCATCAAATGTGGCTACTTTTGAGGAGGAAACTAAAAGATACGAGATCAATCAACATGCAGATGTGAAGATGTATAATAATGAAGCTAAACATTGTTTCAGCATTAGAAATGCATGAGATGCAATATAGTAGTACCAAGGCATGCTAAAATCCTTTTTCTTGGCTTGTGAGGGTAAACATTTATATATCCATGACTTGTCTAAAAATATATGGCCACAAGTAAAACTGGATTGGAAACAAGAGATGAAATGGTTCAGAGACAATGCTATATCTAAATTGTTGATGGTATGATATTGGACATAAAGAGAAGACTTTATTTGATTTATAGTTTAGATTTAGTTTAAACATTTTAGATTAGCTATTTAACTCTATCAAGTTAATGATATAATTATCTTTTTTTGTCGGATCATAACAAATATCAATTGGACATCACCATCATCTTTCCAAGAGATGTTAAGAAATTGAGTACTTGAAGCAATTTTTGATCTATCATTGTGGACCAAAAGACTCCTTTCTACTGAAGATCTAAAATTGCAGCAGATGTTTTGGAAGGAGATTACAAAACACAATAGGTTTGTTTGTTTGTAGAACTTTAATGTATTAATATATATTGTATAAAAAAAAAATCTTGTAAAAGAAAGTAATCTCTGGTGAATAACTTAACTTGATGCAAATGTAGCTTCATTTTCGCTTGGCATCATATAAATTTTATTGCTAAATGATGAACATGAGAACCCCATCTGCCATCACTCTCCTCTTTTAGCAGAGATGGGCCACATGAACACTACCTCCCACCTCCCCATATGCATAAAGGAGAAGCAGACATTAGCAACTGGCAAAATTATGATCTTTAGCAGAAACATGCACGCACTTGTTTCCATTCATTGTCCCAACCTGAAGCTTATTCCGGAATTCATATGCTTTTTAGTGAGACAGCAACTCGGAGAAACATCTTCTCACGGCACATACGATCGATCTTTTTTACTTGCAGAAAAAAAAGGGACCAATGACACTCAAAACTCTCTTTTGGGAAGAGATAATGGCTGTCACTGTTTTGCTATTATTCTTTTCATTGAAAAGAACTAAATTTGAATATGTTAACTGAATCATGCAAACAAAAAGAGGAAAACTGTATTCGAACAGGAGACAGATATGAGATTCAAGGAACAATGTCGGTCCAAGTGCAGATCAATCATGGACAAATATGATTTCTTTTGACACAAGTAGTGGAAATTATGCTTAGAAGATTCATCTAATTGGTTCTAGACATACAAAAATATTATGTTTATGTGTAACTTGTGATGAAAATAATAAAAGATAATAATTATTGAAGAAGCGAAAAAGCTTAAAGCTTAAATATATTAACACGTCCCTCCCCTATTTATACACGTCCCGATAAAAGATTTTCCTCAACAAAATGTAGGATTTTTCTCAACAAAAAAGAGATTTCCTTATATAGTTAGGGAAATCTTATCTTCTATCAAGTTAAACCCTTTTTTTTTTATCATTCTTTAAGTTTATTATTGCAATTGAATAATAAATTAATAAAAAGTTCTAAAATCCATGGATATGTCTTTTTTTTTTTAATGAGAATCTTTGACACTTGAAGTTGCCACCTAAATTAGGAAATGATTAAACATCCGCAAATTCTAGCTGAATTATTTTTTTATTGGATAATTTGCCTAAAAAATATTTTATTTTTAAATATTAAAATATAATGTATATATTATTTTTAAAATATTATAAATTTATTTTTTAATTGGGATTTGATTTTTTTTTTTTCCTACAAAGGGTTGGATTCTTGAATGCTTTTCTTTGGCCTTTTTGACTTGCTGATTACTATTAATAATATTTAAATATTTTTAATATAATTTAAAATATAATATAATATTTTTGTAGATCTCAATGATGATAAAAGACTCATATAGTCGATCACAAATAGTTAAAACTTTATAGATTTATTATTATTGTTATCTTATATATATCCTTGTAAAGTTTGAAAAAAAAATTATTTGTTATTAAGAATTATATATATATACATATATAACACCAAATATATGATCCTTTATGTATGTCAATGCCATTATCATTGATTTGTTTAAGTTAAAAAAAAGTAATATCCATAAAATTTTTAATATTATAATAAATCTTTAACTAGCAGTAATGCAAGTTAGAGTTTCAATTAACA